GGAATATACAAAAATGCAATGTAATATATGTCATACATACATATATAAATTGATAAAGTGTTATTATCCTAATACATATATTGATGTTAATACCTTACTACATTCTGTATAAACTCTGTCTAAATGTTGTCATATTTATCCGAATGAAGTCTACATCTATAAACATTCTGTTCATAAGTTGGAAGTGTTGTCATGTTGCCAGTCCATCGATTAAAGGGAGAGACTTTGGGATTTATTCCAAAGCAAGAAGGCATAATGTTACTTCCCAGTCTGCGAGAGCATTGAATAATTTTATTTGATGTTTTTACTGTTTTATCATTTGCGTGCTTCCCCCCTGGGCTCGTTTGGCAGGAAGGACTGGGCGAAAATGCAACAGATGACCAAAGAATGATGTTACATCTATGGCTGCCTAATTTTGGAGTGAAGAAGGTATCATGACACTTCCTGTTTTACTAACAGGTAAAAGTAAAGGGACCCCTGACCATTAGGTCCAGTTGTGGCCGGCTCTGGGGTTGCAGCACTCATCTCGCTTTATTGGCCGAGGGATCTGGCGTACAGCTTCCGGGTCATGTGGCCAGCATGACTAAGCCGCTTCTGGCAAACCAGAGCAGCGCACGGAAACGCCGTTTACCTTCCCGCTGGAGTGGTACCTATTTATCTACTTGCACTTTGACGTGCTTTCGAACTGCTAGGTTGGAAGGAGCAGGGACCGAGCAACGGGAGCTCACCCCGTCATGGGGATTCGAACCGCCGACCTTCTGATCGGCAAGTCCTAGGCTCTGTGGTTTAACCCACAGCATCACCCGCGTCCCTTACTAATAGGTATGCAATATTTACTCTTCTGATTACTCCCAGTAAGCTTGGGAAGGCGCAAGTTGCAAGTATTTGTTCGATTAAAAATGGCTAACCTGTGAGGTTGCTGCTTTCTTAAAAGAAAGAAAAAAAGGTTATGAGTAATTTAACGCAATGCCCGGCTTCTGAAACCATTGCGGGATAAATTGCAAGCTGCTGCAGCATAATCTGCCAGCAGAGGAGAGGCACTGCAACTTTGCAAGGACGGGACAGGTGGCTCAAGCAATTATCTTTGCTGTGAGGACAGAGATACTGCGAGCAGATGTGTCCCTATTTTCAACTCTGAAACGTCGGAGAACATGGTCAGGGCCAGTGTCCGCACCTGGCATCCCTTGACAGCTGCCAAGGCCCCAAATACTGTTGATCCCAGCCTGGGCCTCCTTTAGAGAGAAAAAAACACCTCACACCCTCTGGCCCAGCACCCAGATGCAGCTACAGAGGAGAGCTAAAACTACCATTTACATTTCCCCCAATGCTCCCAATGGCCCCAGCCAGAAGACAACCAGTTTGGGGAAAGTTTCCCTAGAATGAAACCAGATTGGGGCACTGAAATATACTCGGAGTCGAGTGTGTATTTCATGCTCTTTATTCAGCTCATAGTAGTGAGGAGGAATGGAAGTTCCCCCGAAATGTCTGCTTTAAATACATTATTTACACAATGGGCCCCACGTGATTGGCCTAGAGGAGAATCCCGGAATTAGCCAATCAGGTTGCAAATTCACTTCCACCTGGAGTTGGATTGGGTGGCTCCTGCGGACCAATTAGACTGCTGCATTCTGGATCCTATTTTTCTAGGACCAATCAGACTGCTGCAATTTGGATCCTATTCAACTCAGTACATAACAGACACTGTGAAATTCAAAGGGTGGCTGGAGACAGCCACTCTGAACTGCTTGGGGCACTGCCCACCATAGCTAGGTATAAGTCCACCAGATGTCAGGGTCTGACTGGATGAGAAGTGGTGGAGGGTGCCTGACCAAGAGCCCCCCAGGGAAAGCACAGAGTGAGAGGATTTGGATCTGGGCTCTTGATGGTGGGAAATCAGCTACATCCCAGAGGAGGGGAAGAGCTGGGAAGTGCTGGAGGCTGGGAGTTTGGAGGAGGGTGAAGAGGAGGAGACAGGCAGGTGCCCCAGTACAGCGCAGCGGCAGGAATCAGACTTAGCAGCTCCACCACAGAGTCACCTTGACAGCTTCTCTGCTGACAGCCTGCAAGATGCTACTCCCAGAACGAGGCGTCTATTGCATGTCACAGAGCAGAGAGCCAGGCAGAAACAGCGGGGGTGGTTGGGGCTCACCATAGACAGAGGGAGGGGCCTGACACAGAGGGATAAGAAGTGAAGCCAGTCTGGGCAACTGCTCCATCTAGACAGGAGCAACCCTCAGAGGTCTGTGTGTGTACTCTGTTCTGCTTCCTTAATAAAGAAGCTAACTGTAAGTTAGCTGGCGTGTCATTGTCTTTCTCTGTTCTGTAAACGACCTGTTCTCCCTGTTGGCTCCTTGACACCAGGACCCACTGGACACACCAAGAGTGGAGGAGGCCTTCGAGAGGACAATTTGCCCTGAAGCCAGTTTTGGGTTTGGTTTAGCAGGTGGCACTGTGGTCTAAACCACTGAGCCTAGGACTTGCTGATCAGAAGGTCAGCGGTTTGAATCCCTGCAACGGGGTGAGTTCCCGTTGCTCAGTCCCTGCTCCTGCCAACCTAGCAGTTCAAAAGCACATCAAAGTGCAAGTAGATAAATAGGTACCGCTCCGGCGGGAAGGTAAACGGTGTTCCTGTGCGCTGCTCTGGTTCCCCAGAAGCGGCTTATTCATGCTGGCCACATGACCCAGAAGCTGTACGCTGGCTCCTTTGGCCAATAAAGCGAGATGAGCTCCGCAACCCCAGAGTCATCCGTGACTGGACCTAAGGGTCCACCCCCTTTACCCTTTACCTATAGGTATGGTTTAAGCAAGGCTATTGTCACCATCATTCAGATGGGTTACATGGAATGTCACCAACTCATTCAGATTTTAAAGTTGTCTTTTCTACCTATCTCATACAGTTGTACCTTGGATCTCAAACACCTTGGCTCCCAAACAAATCGGCTCCCGAATGATCGAAACCCAGAAGTGAGAATTTCGGTTTATGAATTATTTTCGGAAGCTCAACATCCAATGTGGCTTCTGTGGCTGCAGATTGGCTGCAGGATGCTCCTGCAGCCAATCGGAAGCCACGCCTTGATCTTTGAATGGTTCTGGGAGTTGAACAGGCTCCCAGATTGGATTCTGTTCAAGAATCAAGGTACGACTGTATTTTGAACCCAAGAGAATGCCAGTTTGCAGGATCTAGATGGCAGAAACCTGGTGTCTATCAAAAACAAAGCCCCTAAACTTTGGCATCAGCATGCTAAAATAAAGTTTCTTTATTAGTTGCTGGAATTCAGGAGCAGAGATCCACAAAGCCCCATATTTTTAATTGGAATACCAGTTTCCATGTACAGTATTAGGAAATATTCGCAGCTTGCTCAGTATTTCAGCCTGATCATATTTTTGCATAGCTATTTTTAAATGGGTTAGTGATACACAAGAAGAATATTTTCTGCATAGATTCCCCCTCCCAAACTCCCTAACACACAATAAATAAAGAATGAAAATAAAGGCAGGCAGAAAAAAACAACCCCAGAAAAACAACTTGTATAAAATGTCAGAAGCAAGCAGCAGCCTGGGGGGGAGGTGAGATACCTGCATTTATTTCAAGGCCTGCTGAGTCAAGGCTCATAAAAGGAACCAGCATTTCCTGGATGCAATTGCTTTTGCAGTGGCTGCAGAAACAAAGCAGAAATTCTAATTAGTTCCAGTATATAAATACAATTTTCCCAGAGCTAGCAGAAGTGCCAGGTATAAATGGCAATTTAATTTTAGAGCAGGAAGGTATGCAACTTGCATTCTAAAAAGTAATAGCAGGCAATGTGTGCTGCTGCTAGTTTCTGAGTAGACAGAAAGAGTGCCATTGGTAAGATTAGCTGGAAAATCAGCACGTTCTTTCAAAACATGCTTGAGGTCAGAAGATATGAGGGACTCGGCAACTGGGAGCCCATGAGCTTCAGCTGCTCCCCCGAAACTACCAAACCCAGAGATAAAAATTGCAGAAGGTCTATTAGGATCATTTCGTTCATTGTATTCACTCTGTGGCCGTGTGAATAATGGTTGGTTATCTTTTTGTATATTTAAATAAGAAGAGGAGGATTATTAATAATAATATTATTGGCAACAGTCTGTCGAGGTGGGAAGGAAAGGCTTTGACACCTGCTGCTTTCTCCTTTCTCAAAGCAACCCTCCAGCAAAACGAAGAGGCAGGTAGAGCAGGAACAAAGCTATTTAGAATATAAACATTCCCCCCTGCCCTGTTAAATTGCAGGGAGTTGGACTGGATGACCCTTGGGGTCCCTACAAACTCTATAATTCTATGACTCTCCTGAAATCAGAGTTCCCTGAGCACATCGACTTAAACCCCCTGATAATCAGTCCCTACCACCTCTCCCGCAGTTAGGTTTGCGGTGGGCCAGAAAAATCTTTTCCCGCTATTATACCCAGTTGGCTCATTAATCACACTGATTTGCTAGTTGAATCAGTAAGCCCCACACAGAATAAAGCAAGATTCCCTAGCCATCCTTTTATGGAAAGTGCCTCCTGTGCGCAGTCTCTCTCTCTCTAGAAAGCATGGAATAGCTGAGTTGGCAATGAGATCAGTTGCTATGTATGGGAATACCATAGGACAGACAGCTCCATTTACATTGTACTATAAATGGGCAGTGTAAATGCCAGTAGCTAGACTGGGCGAAAAAAAGGCTGACCTCACTCTCCCAACACACAGGAGAGGCCAAAGCCTGAACACAATCAACAGCAATTCACAGGCATTCCCCACACAGAAACCCACTTCCCTGTAGGGAACTGCATGCAGCCTTTCTGTGGACCTTCATCCCTGATAAGGCGTTTGGCTGCCTATACAGTTGTTGGAGAACTAGTAGCGCGTCAGCGTTGTGAATAATGGTGGTGCTGGTGGGGGGGTCCTCTGAAAGAGCTCTCGATCACCACATCACGACTTTCCCCATGGCGATAATTTTCCACACAAGTCCCTGTTACAAGAAATCTCTGCCCATGGGCAAGCCTGGATAACTCAGTTGGTTAGAGCGCGGTGCTGATAACGCCCAGGTTGCAGGTTCGATCCTCGTCAGGGACAGCTGCAAATCCCTGCATTGCAGGGGGTTGATGATCCTCATGGTCCCTTCTGACTCTACAATGATATATATAAATGTGGGAAGTGATAATAATAATAATAATAATAATAATAATAATAATAATAATAATTTATAACCCGCCCATCCAGCAGGGTGCAGGGTTTCCCCAGCCGCTCTGGGTGGCTCCCCACAGAATATTTAAAACACAATAAAGCACCAAACATTAAAAACTTCCCTAAAGAGGGCTGCCTTCAGATGTCTTCTAAAAGTCAGATAGCTGTTTCCTTGACATCTGATGGGGGGGCATTCCACAGGGTGGGCACCACCACCGAGAAGGCCCTCTGTCCTGTAACCTTACTTCTCGCAGTGAGGGAAGCACCAGAAGGCCCTTGGCGCTGGACCTCAGTGTCCTGGCTGAATGATGGGGGTGGAGATGCTCCTTCAGGTATACTGGGCTCTTTAGGGCTTTAAAGGTCAGCACCAACACTTTGAGGTGAGGAGTCATGCACACCAGCCACACAGCAACATCTCTGTAATATGTCAGGCCTGCCTTCTCTGTTTCTGGCCCTCTTGTGTTGCTTGGATATGAGAAGAACCCAGTGCATGACCAGGAACCCTGATCGAGCAGGATCTCCAATCAAACGATGACTTATATTCATATTCAAGCAAATGCAGGAAGATGCTCCCTCTAGACTTTCCCTGATCAACCTGGATAGGCCAGGGACCCAGTGGATGGGCATATTAGGCTACCGTGTCTCCTGCATGTGCTAATATATCATTTTGGGGCACAGCTCCCTAACAAGGTTATAGTGCAATTTTCTCTGATGTATTATGCCGACATTCAGCATCAACTTCATATTCTTTTCAGGTTCCCCTGGCCTTATGAGCTGCATGACGGCCAGACATTTGACAGGTGAAGCCTTCCTATATTTCTTTGCTATGAAGAGCATTGTGCAATTCCTGGTGCTGATAAGAACATAAGAAAAAGCCCACTGGACCAGCCTATTGACTCAAGCACCTTGTCTCTTACTGTAGACAATATGACAATACAGTGGTACCTCTGGATACGAACGGGATCCGTTCCGGAGCCCCGTTTGCATCCTGAAGCGAATACAACCCACGTCTGCGTGTCTGCGTGGGTCACAATTTGCCGCTTCTGCGCATGTGCATGACATCATTTTGACCGTCTGCGCATGGGCAAGCGGCAAAACCCGGAAGTAATGCTTCCATGTTACTTCCATGTCGCCGTGGAGCACAACCCGAAAATGCTCAACCTGAAGCAACTTCAACCTGAGGTATGACAGCCACGAAATTAAAAGATGCCTGCTTCTTGGGAGAAAAGCAATGACAAACCTAGACAGCATCTTAAAAAGTAGAGACATCACCTTGCCAACAAAGGTCCATATAGTAGAAGCTATGGTTTTCCCAGTAGTGATATATGAAGTGAAAGCTGGACCATAAAGAAGGCTGATCGCCAAAGAATTGATGCTTTTGAAATATGGTGCTGGAGCAGACCCATGGTGCTGGAGGAGTCCCATGGACTGCAAGAAGATCAAACCTATCCATTCTTAAGGAAATCAGCCCTGAGTGCTCACTGGAAGGACAGATCCTGAAGCTGAGGCTCCACGACTTTGGCCACCTCATGAGAAGAGAAGACTCCCTGGAAAAGACCCTGATGTTGGGAAAGATGGAGGGCACAAGGAGAAGGGGACGACAGAGGACAAGATGGTTGGACAGTGTTCTCGAAGCTACGACCATGAGTCTGACCAAACTGCGGGAGGCAGTGGAAGACAGAAATGCCTGGCGTGCTCTGGTCCATTGGGTCATGAAGAGTCTGACACGACTAAACGACTAAACAACAACAACATGACTGCATGATGCCTCATGGCAAGCCCACAAACTGGGCATGAGGACCTTGGAACTCGCTGCCTTTGAACTTGGAGGCCACATTGACTAGTGGCAGGGCCGGCCCAAGACATTTTGGCACCTAAGGCAAACCACCAAATGGCACCCCTCCTCCCTGCCAGAGAACAGGGGGTGATCACATCAGTAATCCACTGCTTTTATTTCAAATCCTGCCCACCACTTCATGTATGGGTGATACTTTGATAGATAATCCATCAGTAGTCTCTGTTCCTCCTTAAACACTTCTTCATTATGTTCTCTTAGTTCGGCAGTGAATTTCGCCATTTCAGCATAGTCCATCAGTTTCAAAAGCTATTCCTCATTCGTTGGTAATCCTTCTCTCTCCCCCCACTCATATCCTTATGATTGCTGTACAATATGCCACCCACATTATCCTTTTTGTTTATTCTGTGAGGGCTGCAGCTCTAAAATGCATAACAACAACAACAACAACAACAACAACAATCATAATCATAATCATAATCATAATATCATAATCATAATTTCTTATTTGTACCCCGCCCATCTGGCTGGGTTTCCCCAGCCACTCTGGGCGGCTTTCACAAAGACCAAAAATACACTAAGATGTCACACATTAAAAACTTCCCTGAAGATGTCTTCTGAATGTCAGGTGGTTGTTTATCTCTTTGACATCTGATGAGAGGGCGTTCCACAGGGAGGGCGCCACTACTGAGAAGGCCCTCTGCCTGGTTCCCTGTAGCTTTGCTTCTCACAATGAGGGAACCGCCAGAGGGCCCTCAGCTGTGGACCTCAGCGTCCGGGCAGAATGATGGGGGTGGAGACGCTCCTTCAGGTATACTGGGCCGAGGCCGTTTAGGGCTTTAAAGGTCAACACCACTAGGAAGAGATCATCAGCAAGAGACCACTAGGAAAAATTTGGCATAGTAAACCTAGTTATAAGAAGGAAATGAAGTTTATTTTGTCCTTGTGGAGACACTGCGGGCCAACAGCATTTCTCTGCCAGGCAAGATCATTCTTACTCTGAGGACTGATGTTGCAGGTGAAGAGATTCTCTGTCCATTCAGTTTACAAAACTGCTGCCTGATGTCAACTCTAAGTGTGCTTTATTTGTTTATGTTTCAGACGCATGTCCGCATGGGAAATCAAATTCAGTTTACAGCAGTTTCTGAGAAAATAAACAGCCCTCAGTAGCTCGCAAAGAAATGGTTGTGGACTGAGAAAAAGTGCAGTTGACCTATATTGACCTATGAAACACAAGGCATTGCCAAGACCTACTTAAGGGCTGGCTCACACCCTTGGCTATCGAGAGACCTCGTGATTATATTTTAATGGCTTCTGTTAGCTGCTTAGGCCTTGGCATCATGCGCCAACGATTTCCAGCATCACCAACAGTTGTCAATAAATAAACCTCCCTTTGGCTTAACATTTCCAGAAACAGAACTAAAGTGCTTCAAGGCCGAATTCTTCTACACTAGCAGGGAACACAAACAAATGAAGGACTACATACCCCTCAACTACTCTGGTTAAATTGGGACATCCTGATTTTTGGCTCTGGGATCACGTGCAAGTCACGTGACTCCCCTGAGAACATGGCCCGGAAGACACACAGCCTGGGTTGGGGGCTGGACATGTTAGAGGGTATGGGGCTAAATGCTGCAGAAGGGGAACAGTTTCCAAAATGTTCAGGGCAAATGGTCTGCAATGGTAAGGCTGCCCAGATTATATCTTGGCCTTTCTAATGTGGTCCAAAGGAAAGCAGAGCAATACATTTGACACTAGCTTGACTGCAGGAGTTGCTGGAAGGGGATGCCATGCATCCATCTTAGGCAGGGGTCAGCAAACTTTTTCAGCAGGGGGCCGGTCCACTGTCCCTCAGACCTTGTGGGAGGGGGCCGACTATTTTTTTTTGGGGGGGGGGAGAACAAAGTCCTATGCCCCACAAATAACCCAGAGAAGAATTTTAAATAAAAGCACACATTCTACTCATGTAAAAACACCAGGCTGGCCCCACAAATAAACCAGAGAAGCATTTTAAATAAAAGGACACATTCTACTCATGTAAAAACATGCTGATTCCCAGACCGTCCGCGGGCCAGCTTTAGAAGGCAATTGGGCCGGATCCAGCCCCCGGGCCTTAATTTGCCTACCCATGATCTTAGGGATTCCACTCTAACTTTGTGTAGGGTTTTCTCCATAGCCTCTTCTTCTCTAAAATATATCTCACAAGTCAGCAGAGGTTTAGAATCAGAGTTTTCCTTCTCCTAGTTGGGCTACCTTCCCAGGTTGACAGATCCCATCTCCCCCTCGCTTTCTCCTCCAGCATGTGCATAAACCACCTTCTTGACCATTGGACCCACTTTTGGTCTTGTCTGCTCAATCTGTCGGAGCTTGTCTTCACATGTAGAGGAAGTCCTGGGCTGATCTACACTAGTCAGAGAAAACGTTAAAAATGTGTTATAAAAATGTGGCACCAGAGGGCGCTGTAGAGCAGTGATCTGTCACCAATGTAAAAGTGCATTGAGAGTTATATCACATGTGTGGGGTTTTTTTAGTGTTTTTACAAATCACTGTAGATCCAGCCCCTAACTCACCAAGGGTTTGAGACCCATCAGCTGACCTCACCTTGTTTAGCCAGCCTGCTGAAGCCATTCCCAGGGTGTGGCCATTGCCACACGCTGACAGCTTCTAGTAGCCACAGGTGAGAGCTGAGTGCAGGGTGGGGACCAAAAGGGGACTTGAGAAGCATGATGTGTCCCTCACCAGAGATACTACCCATACCCTAATACCCTATACACGCCAATTTACAACGAAACCCATAAAATGTTTTACAGCCTTTCAGTCTACAGTGGTACCTTGGTTTATGAACTTAATCTGTTCCGGAAGTCCGTTCTTAAACCAAAGTGTTCTTAAACCAAGGCATGCTTTCCCATAGCAGCGGGGGACTCAATTTACAAATGGAACACACTCAACAGGAAGAGAAACATGTTCTGCTTCCAAGACAAAGTTCACAAACCAAAACACCTGTTTCCGGGTTTGCAGCGTTCTTAATCCAAGTTGTTCATAAACTAAGCTGTTCTTAAACCAAGGTGCCACTGTACAGTGGTACCTCGGGTTACAGACGCTTCAGGTTACAGACTCCGCTAACCCAGAAATAGTACCTCGGGTTAAGAACTTTGCTTCAGGATGAGAACAGAAATCGTGCTCCAGCGGTGCAGCGACAGCAGGAGGCCCCATTAGCTAAAGTGGTGCTTCAGGATAAGAACAGTTTCAGGTTAAGAACGGACCTCCGGAACGAATTAAGTTCTTAACCCAAGGTACCACTGTATATGAAAACCTGCTGGAAGGGAGGAGCAGGGAAAACTTTCAGTAGGAGTTAACCAAAGTTCAGAGGGGCGAAGGTTTTTTTAAAAATGTAGTTATTCTAAGGACAATGTTTTTAGTCATTTACGGTGGAACGGTAACCCAGCCATAGTACAGCAGCGATGGAAGGAATGTAATTTCTAGGAGCTTAACCCTCATTTTATTATCCTGTAGATGTCCAGTTAAGTTGACTTCAGATTCAAAGCCAAGCAGAGGAAACATAAACCCTTTTGGGTGACAGGAAAGGATGGGAGGGAGGGGTCATTTTTAAAGTGCCCCAGAGCGCAGGCTCCAGACTCTCTCATCTACAGTGGCAGCAGGGTCACACTTGAAACTTCTGTGGCTAGCTAGGACTTCTCAGGTGAAATCCATTTCCCCTTCCCCCTGCCTTTTCTCATTCTTTTCAAGAAATATTCTCGTAGACATTGTGCTGGTCAGTCCTGGGAAGGCTCTGTTGCTGAGAAGGGTAAGGCTGCTCTCTAATCCTGTTCTTATTGAGCTGATTAGCTTTCTGGGTTTCTGAGCGTTCCTAGGCAGTGGGGTGGTGGTGTTCCTTCTATTTAAGAGCTGAAAATGCCCTGGGACGAATTGCCTCCAGGCTACAAACTTAACGTGGCCAGCTATAGCTATGGGGAGGGGTGGAGGCCCGAAGGAAAATGAAGTTGGCAAAGGTTTTCCTTTAACCGCGTGTTTTCCTGTACAGTCTTTGACAAGTAACTTGGTGAAAGTTTGCTCCAAGAAAAAGCCGCAAGGACTTTTGCTGCTAAAATTTCACAGGGCTGGCGGCTCTTCCCTGCTAACATGTCTCTCGAGTCGTAAACAAACAACGGTTTTAAATATTGATAAAATTTGGGTTTTTTTATTATTATTTTTAAAAAACCTGAGCTACAAATCCTTATATAGATCTCATATTAAGCTTTAAATATGTAAAGGATACTTGGCTGTCTTTAAATGTTCATTGCACTTGCCAAAGGAATATCGGCATAGCTAGCTGAGAGAGAATTGATATGTATCCAAAGCATACTGGCTATTTTCAACCTGTACCGATGAAATAAACAGATATTTTTTTTAGTAATGGAGAACAGAAAGGGCTGCAAATGTATACCTGGCAATATTTCTTTTTTTCTCCCTTAAAAAGAATTAAAACCCCAAGCATGAAATGCACTTTAAACTGGACGTGCCTTAAAATGGCAAGCGACTTTGAGAGACCCCAGAGAGCGATGCTATTCTTGGAAACGTCCCTGATAGCTTTCAACAGATGCAGCTTAAGGAATGCAGCTTGGGGGGGAGCAGCTGACCCGCCACTTTGGCAAAGTGACATTCTGGGACCTCTGCTCATTCTGGTACGCGGGCAATGGCTGATGCTTCTAACACACACACACACACACACACACAATCATCTCGCTTGCACATAGCTGCCACCTAGCAGGAGGGACTGGGTGATGGGTGGACGCCATACCCCCCTGAAAGAGGAACTAACCATTCCTTTCTATACTTAAAATGCTGAATGGCTCGTGCTTTTTAAAAACTGTGTGCAAGAAAGCGCTAATGCAGATGGTACTCCAGTATACAGCATTGCTTAACCCTTGCCTGTTTTAACATTTTGCAGCGCTCTTTGACTCGCAGGGGCTTATTTCGGGCTGCCGATGCACTCGTTTGATCTAAGATGTTCATTACATCTTGATTTTCCTCTTCCTCCAAGCAGATCAAATGTGGTATACAGCAATGTCCTCTCCCTTCGCCATTCTATCCTCAGGACTGACTCATGGAGTTTGGTTATGCTGCGATAGAGTGACTGGTCCAAAGTTATCCTCTAGAGAGGATTTGAACTCAGGTCCTAGTCTACCTTATCTAGAGCATCCAAATCCATATAGGTCGATGCTTCACTCTGTCACATACCCTCCAACACTTCTCCATAGCTGTCAACATTTCCCTTTTTTTAAGGGAAATTCCCTTATTCCGAATAGGATTCCTCACAAGAAAAGGGAAAAGTTGACAGCTATGCATTTCTCCGATGAAAATAGGGATGTCCCATTCCATAATGATAATTTTTACTATTTATACCCCACACATCTTACTAAGTTGCCCCAGCCACTCTGGGCAGCTTCCAACATATAGAAAAACAAAATAAAACATTAAACTTTTTAAAAAAATACTTCCCTATACAGGATTGCCTTCAGACAGCTTGGGCGTCAGATAACTCCATACCCTTCAAAATTTCTCCAGTGAAAATAGGGACACCCTAAGAAAAGCAGGACATTTCAGGATCAAATCAGAAACTGGGATGACTTCTCTAAATCAGGGACGTCCCTGGAAAATAGGGACACTTGGAGGGTTGGTCTCTCATTGGTCCTCTACCAACCCTACAGGCCTGAGTTGTCAGTGATATTGTGGGTTGCTGGCTTTCTGCTTTTGGCATTACAACAGTTTCACCCAGCCTGGTGCCCTTCAGTGCTGTTTGAGGTTGGCATAGCACTTGTCTTATGAGGAGGAAGAAGCGACTGAATTATTCAGGAAAGTTTCCCATGTCATGTGACAGAGCACTCAGCTGGAAGTCTGGATCAATTCATGGTGAGAGTTATGTCCAGAAAGCTGGTTTGGTGAAAACCAGAATGCGCAAATCTACAAGTGTTTTGTGTAGACAAACTGTAAATTAGGCTTGTCTGCAATTGCTCAAAAGATAAATCCTGTTGATTTCAGTGGGGCAGATGTAAATAAATATGGAGGTCATCCATAACCATTCTCCTGCCAGTACAAGTAGGATTTTCTTTTGCTTCCCAGGTGGCGCTGTGGGTTAAACCACAGAGCCTAAGACTTGCCGATTAGAAGATCAGCGGTTCGAATCCCCGTGATGGGGTGAGCTCCTGTTGCTCAGTCCCAGTTTCTGCCAACCTAGTAGTTTGAAAGCATGTCAAAGTGCAAGGCGTTTCCGTGTGCTGCTCTGGTTCGCCAGAAGCGGCTTAGTCATGCTGGCCACATGACCCGGAAGCTGTATGCCGGCTCCCTCGGCCAATAAAGCGAGATGAGCGCCGCAACCCCAGAGTTGGCCATGACTGGAGCTAATGGTCAGGGGTCCCTTTACCTTTACTCCTGGTCCTTTGGTGGAGCTCTATATAATTTAATACCAATTCAGATCCCCAACTACTACATGGTCTGAAAAGAAGGGAGGTTGTCGATTTCAGCTGAATGCAAATTAAACATGTGCTGTGCTCAGTGTTGTATGGCACTTGCCACATGGACAAGGAGTGAAGAAACATTACTTGTCATGAGGAAAACTGTCATGTGAACCCATCTTAAAAATTCATCTATGCTGTTCTTGTATTATTATTGGATTTTTTACAGTGCATTTATTGTATTGCCATCTTTCTGCTCCTTATTTTAATGTGTACCATTTACTATATTTTGGTTTCATAATTTCTGTAAATTGCTTAAGGATTTTGACCAAAGATGTTAAGCTGTATATAAAATGTCCTGACCATAATTAAAACAGGTTATTATTATTATTGTTATTATTATTATTATTATTATTATTAAGTAAGTAAATTTGGATTCCGCCCTACAGAATATAAAACACAAAATACATAATAAAAGCAAAACAAGCCAATAATCTCCCTTCTCCCCAAGCAATTTTTTAAAAATACAATAAACTCTTTTTTATGTGCAACAAAAAAATTGAAAGACTATAGTGGGCCTGTTCTACCCAATTCAGTAGTAGTTAGGTGTAAAAGAGCCACAACTTTCAACTTGATTTATTATTTCAAAATTGTATGTTTCTTTTCACTGTTATCTCTTAGTCTAGTCATGCTGTTTTGGAGGAAAATAATTACCTCAGGCTTTAGCAGGCCGCTGAGTCTATCTACAAAAGAGAAGAGCAGTCTGTTCTTACATATGAAGGACAGAGGCAGTCTCCAGTTTAAGTGAATAAGTCTTCACACTCCCAATCCCGAAACATACTGATTTGGAACTTCAGCCAGTGGGACTTGCTTTGTACTAAATGTGCTTTAGGATTGGGCTGCGAATCCTATCTATTGGTCAGCTTGTCCACACGACAAAAAAAGAAAAAAGAAAAAAATGGGGCTCAAGAGCAATGCACAATTTTCTCGTGTTGTGGGCCCAGCAACCCTGTGAAGCAGATTGGTCTGAGAGATTTATTTATTTATTTTAAAATTTTATATACCCCCTTTTCTTTATGTAGGTCCCAAAGCAGCTTACAATCATGACATACATAACTTAAAACAGAAATTAAACCTAATTTTGAAACCGCCTATATAAAATAATGCTGCAAAACATCTCAGAAGCATTCAGGGTGCAAAAGCCTCCAAAAATAAAACCTGATTTGACCAGGCATCTGAAGCTCTGTAGGGATAGTGCCCATGTATAACTTCTTGTGGCAGGGAGTTCCGCTGAGTTGGACCCACAACACTAAAAGCTCAACATGTGAGTCAGATTCTGGCCCACAGCAAACCACTAATAGGGCTCCCTGCCATGATCTCAGTGTCCAACTTGGGGTGTGTCAGCCTTTCAGTAAGCATCATAGCTTATTGAACTCCCTTCAAGTTGAGGTCAGACAGGCCCACTCCCTACTGAACTTCTGAATATATTTTTATTATTTCAGCAGGCATTTAAATTGATGTTTGATTTTGTAATTACAGCTGGTTTTTCTTTTTGGTATTATATTTTTACAAACCACTTGGGGAGTACGAGTTTGACACAAGACACTGAGTAGATACAAACCACCATTTACCAAGCAATATTTATTCACTTGCATGAGGTTACAGATGTGTGTGATTGCGGAGTTTTCCGTAATCTCCTGCTGTTCCACTTTTCTTATTTTTCTGTTTCCTCTTGCCACCTGCAAGGACGCTTTGCAGTCATTTTCAGTGAGATGCTGAAAACCAACGCACTGAAATACGGGTCTAAAAGTTGTCCTTTTCTCCTTCTCCTTCTCCTTCTTCTAGCTAGCTCCTGGCTGTGATATTATATTGCAGTCATGGCGCCCAAGAAGAAGAACGTCAAAAAGAGCAAGGTGGATATCAATGAGCTGACCATCATCGTGGAAGATGGTCCTCTCAGCAAGCTGAACGGCTTGAATGGCCTTTTGGAAGGGGGGAACGGCTTCAGCTGTGTCTCGACTGAGGTTTCCGATGCTCTCTATAGTCCCAACCTTTTGGAAGGGCTGTGCAGGATGAGACTGGAGAACTTCCTCTGTGATTTAGTCATTGGTACCAAAACAAAGTCTTTTGATGTCCACAAGGTGGTGATGGCTTCCTGCAGTGATTACTTCCACAACATCTTGAAGAAAGACCCATTAACTCAGAGAGTGGACCTCAACGATGTGTCTCCCCTGGGCCTAGCTACTGTCATTGCATATGCCTACACAGGAAAGCTCACTCTCTCGCTCTATACTATAGGTAGCATCATCTCCACAGCCATCTACCTTCAGATTCATACCCTTGTGAAGATGTGCAGTGATTTTTTGATGCAAGAAATCAACGTGGAGAATTGCATGTATGTTGCTAACATCGCAGAGACATATGGACTCAAAACCACCAAGGAAGCAGCTCAGAAATTCATCAGAGACAACTTCATTGAGTTTTCCGAATCGGATCAGTTCTTAAAGCTCACTTTTGACCGGATCAATGAACTTCTTGCAGATGATGACTTGCAGTTGCCTTCTGAACTCGTTGCATTCCAAATTGCAATGAGATGGCTGGAATTTGACCAAAAAAGAGCAAAATATGCTGCGGATCTGTTGAGCAACATTCGCTTTGGTACCATCTCTGCCCAAGACCTGGTGAATTATGTTCAGACTGTACCAAGAATGATGCAAGATGCAGATTGCCATAGACTTCTAGTAGATGCCATGAATTACCATTTGCTTCCCTACCACCAGAATACATTGCAGTCTAGGAGAACAAGGATTCGTGGAGGATTACGGGTCCTGGTTACGGTTGGGGGACGCCCAGCTTTAACAGAGAAATCCCTTAGCAGAGACATTTTATACAGAGACCCTGACAATGGATGGAAGAGGCTTACTGAGATGCCTGCTAAAAGCTTCAACCAGTGCGTCACCGTGATGGATGGATTCCTCTACGTGGCAGGTGGAGAAGACCAGAATGATGCCAGGAATCAGGCTAAGCATGCGGTCAGCAATTTCTGCAGGTAACTGGTTATTTATAGAGGTAGTATGTTCAGCACATAACAGCTCCGGAGGGGGAGGGAGAGGGAAATGCAGATGCATAAACAGCAACGGAAGAACAATCTTGATTGAGGTTGTTGTTTTTAGCATAGGTGCCTGTGATTGACAAATGCCATCCAAGCCATGCCAAAAGGGAATACAGTGGTACCTTGGTTTACGAACTTAATCCATTCCGGAAGTCCGTTCTTAAACCAAAGCGTTCTTAAACCAAGGCGTGCTTTCCCATAGCAGCGGGGGGGGGCTCAATTTACAAATGGAACACACTCAACAGGAAGCGAAACATGTTCTGCTTCCAAGGCAAAGTTCACAAACCAAAACACCTACTTCCGGGTTTGCAGCGTTCTTAATCCAAGTTGTTCATAAACTAAGCTGTTCTTAGTTACCACTGTATCTGCAAAGGTCGATTATTATTTTTGGAAGGAAAAAACAGCCAGAAAAAAATGCCTTTGTGACAAAGTTAGATTAACAGCGTCCCTATTTATATGTTTACAACAGGGATGTTGCAAAGAGGAAAATGCATGTACAAGCAGGCTAGCTCCACTCCCTGTTTCCACTGACATTTGTATGTTCAAGGGTGACTGTCTCCTGCAGGAAAGCCTCCTGCAGCCATGGAAGACAATGGGGACACCGCAAGCAGGCTCATGCACGCTCCCCATTCGTTGTGTGTTTAAGTCCCCTTATGAACGCCTGAATAACTCAAATGTCTCGGATGATATGCAAGTTGGATAAGACTCAAATGCTTCTCCACCCAAGAGCTGTTGGTGCTTCACAGTTGGCGTACTAATTTGAAATAGGATTAGACAGGCACGTTTTCCATTTCTTTGTCATAGTAATATATTTACTGGCCTATATGTAAGCGCATGAGACTCTTAATCTCAGAGTGACGGGTTTGAGCCCCACATTGGGCAAAAGATTGCATTGCCCCTTGGGGTCCCTTCCAAGTCTACAATTCTATGATTCTAAATGGTGTAAGGTATCGAGTGCATTTGCTTTATTGCCCTACAACTGGGGTGTGGAATGGGGCTGCAGATGTTTATCCCATTAGTCCAAGCGAGACAGGGGTGCTGGGAGTTGTAGTTCAGCAACCTCTGGAGGGACAAAGGTATCCCTCACCTGGCCTACAACATGGATAAGGACCCATTATCTTCTTTCTCTCTTTGGGTCATATTGCCAATATTAAAGTTGTCAGTGGGCCATGCTCAGGAGAATAAACACAATCTTTTATGCACAGAAAACCGCAAACATACTGGGAGCCAGTATCCGATGATAACGGAGGTGTGGGGTTAATGCATCTGGGCTTCTCAAATGTGAGGGGTGGTGATCGTGTGATGGCGTCACTGATTTCCCAACATGCACTGCATCAACACTAAACTAGGAACTGTACAGGGTGTAGAAATGGCTGTGCTTCCCAGACAGTTTTGTGGTCTATATATCATGTTTCTGTAAATGATGGTCATATGGTGTATGGTGGAAAGATTTGCACTGGGAGCCTCTTATGACCAGGCAGCCAGAGCTGGGTTAGAATGGCCATTTACTGTCTTGCCAGTGAGCGGCAGTTGCAGCCCAGCGTGACATCTCCTCTCTCCGCCAGATGAGTAGATTTAGATTGTTTCCTTGTCTGCTCCTGTGGCCGCAGAGGCTCATGGGTTCCTACCTAACCCGTCCTTCAAATGAGCCAATCCGTGGCGGCCCGGGGGAGGGGCATGGCCATCTACTTAGCCTGGCCAACCACTCAGCACAGCATCCAGTCGGCTGGGATGCGACCGTGTTAATCTTAACATGAAAACCATCCAGTGCTGGAGATCCAGGTTTGGGGAAAACATTTGGACAAGGTGTTCTCAGTAAGCTTCAGTGGACCCATGCCCACATCTTGTCTCGATGCATCCTTCTCCCTTTGGGCTTAATCAACATCACCTCCCACAGAAAGAAGGCAGAACAAAGAGCCCTTGTTCCCTCTGCTCACTTTGCCATTGCTTCTTCTTCTTGCTCCTGCCTGCTCACTTGCTTGGCAATGGCAGGCAAACAGGCAGAAGCAGTAAAGGTTTCAGGAGTTGACCGTGATCCCCCTGCTGGCAGGGTGTGCCTTACCAGGTGCGCAACAATGCTGATCTCTGACAGCAGCCCATAAACTCCCTTATTTTTAATTATTTTTTTAATGCGAACATAAATAATTATGCAACAAATCCTTCTCATCCTCCAAGTTGGTCATTCAGATGCAAGAGAGGCATCCTTAACACTGCCTGCCTGAAATGGCTTAGGAGATTGGGAGCTGTATTTAATGAAGTTTTACTCAGAGTAGACACACCAAAATTAATCATCATGACTAAGTTAGGCCCATTAATTTCAGTGGGTCTACTCTGAATTGAACTTCATTGACTATCACCGATGGGAAGGCCGGAAGCACCAAGAAAGGTGAGTTGAATAAATGAATACATGACCAGTTTTTATTCAAACATGATAAAACATGATGGACATGGGTAGGGGGAAAAGCACACAGACTTTTTATCCTGTCCTTACTCTAAGGAGCTCAGGGTGGTGCACATGATTTCTCTCCCCCTTGCCCAATAATCCTGTGAGGTAGATTTGGCTGTTGGCAGGGGCGAAACTAGATTTTATTCCACCTGGGTCGAAAACTCTCCCATGAGCACTTGCACACACACACACAAACAGGGTGGGAGTCTCAATGGTGCCTCTCTGGAGGCTTCAGCCAGGGCAAAAACCCAGCTAGCCCCTCCATAGCTATGGCACTGGCTGCTGGTGGCACTGCTGCCCCAGGTCTTATGCTGTTTATTATAAATTCCCCGTTCTTCCTCCCAGAAGGTCAGAGTGACTTGTGCTTGGCTCCCAGGCAGAATTGCATTGAGTGTCTTGATTGCACATCATGTACCTATTTTGCTGAGTATTCATGCAGAGCATATGGAATGAGAAAATAACTCCCTTCGCAGTTTTCCCCAACATGTGTATATGTAGCAAAAGAGGCAATGTATACAATCCCTTAAATTGGGGCAGCGGCTGTAGCTCGGGGGTACAGCACATGCTTTTAAGATGCTCTGGCATCTCCACATCAAAGGATTGCAGATTGGCTGAGGAGACAAAACTGGGCTAGATGGGCAAACGGTCTGGGCTATAAGGCAGCTTCCTCACTGTGAATCTGAGGATGCTCATGAGGCAAGTCCTCCTGCAATCCGTCCGCACTGTCATGAACATTCCTTCATTTCTTCCATGTATCTATAGGGATGTTAGAGGAAATGGCTTAGTGAGTTCCGTGTATGGATGCCAGTCTTATATGAGGATCACCCACAGGAGAGCAAGGTGCCCTTATGTCTAGATTCTCATGGATTGTGGTTTGTGGCAAAGATGGATGGTTTCACCATGGTTTTTTACCATGCTTGTACCATTAAACGTGACAGGCATTCCTACTCTCAGATACTATTTGATATGTGTTTCTTTCAAAGATATCCACCCAACACATTTAAAACAGAGACAATTTCTAGCAGCCGTGCAGAGAGCCTTTACATTTCCATAGGTTCAAGTCAGATGTGATGCTACATTGGGGGGAGGGGGGTTGGCCAATTATTTTTATTGATATTTCATGATTTTTAACAAATCCTCATCAAATTAATACAAATTCAATGTAAATCTAAACACTGACTTCCCTCCCACCCCAGATGTCCCCTCTATTTTCCTCCTTCCTTTGGTGCTCCCAATAAAATAACTTTTCCTACTATCATTTCAAAATACATTCATCCCTTCTGCCTACACATCACCTGTTCAATTACCAGTTTCTGCTGTGGCTTTTATACATTGTTATAGCCTGTCCTCAAAACAGTTGAGTAGAGTAAATCCTCTTCTATCTCTCTATAAGAGTCGTTCATCAATTTTCAAACATTTCCTTCTGATGCCTATTGAGTAATACTTTGCCTGAGAAAAACAGATCTTGCTTCTTCCCAGACAACATGCATGCATTCCTCCTTAACATGGCTTTGAACATTGTTGTCTGACATCTGGCCCCAGTAATCAACAATTCAGCCTCACTGGTGCAGTGTGCAGAAGGTGAAAATGAAACCCCTAGAATTCTTTGGTATAAATATATAATATACATCCCTCCCACAACGCTGCCAATCTCCCAGCGTCACCCACCCTTCACATTTTGCCAAATTGAATCCTCAGTTTTGCATACATTAATAAATAAACACAATCCATATCTCCTCTTTTCTGTCTGAAAGTCTCAGAAGCCGTCAAGATGGTACACACTGTGGTCCATCCTATCCCTTTCACTGTTCTTATTTCCAACTTCAGCCTTCAAGGGCCGATATGGATTTTGCTGAGATTACACATTGCTAGCAGTCTACTATGTCTTTGGGAAGGGGGAAGCAGACAAGTGAGGCAGGATTTTTGATGGGACTGCCCCAAGTGGATTGCAGCTGTTATTACCCCTGGAAGGATAGTGCCCATTGGCATCAATGGGCATCAATGGGAATATCCAGGGCACTTCAACCACTGGTTTGGGAAACAGTGTACACACATTATGCTGCAAATTTTTTTTTGCTTCTAACATTTCACCTTCCTTATTCCTTATTCACCTAACCTTATTCCAAACTCTATTCAGGGACAGGCCTACCGCTGGCTAGTTCCCTAATTTAAGACAAAACAAGCCTTTAAAATAGAACTGGACCTTGGGAGCAATCCAAACCCAAGGTCTACTGGGATGACCAGAGTTTGGAATAGGTGTATCCGTAGCTGAGCCAGGGCTCAGCCAGAGAGACACCGGGCTAAGGCCTGGCGCTGCCCTGCTCAGTCAAGGCAAGTCCCCCAAAGGGGGTGTTCTGGGGTACTGGTGGGGGCAGGGCAGGATGGGGAGACTTACTTCATTTCAAAATCCATTCAGCTTGGTCACATGACATACCAACCCCAACCCCGTGGAGGTTACACACTGGCAGAAAGGGTGATGTGAGTTGAAGTGCGAAAACTGAAGGACAACTGTCTTCTCTTCTGTATCCAGGAAGTTCAGATCAAGTCGGTTTGCTTCAAAATGGGGACTGAATGAAAGCCTCAAACATCCCTAAGCAGAAAAGCCATTTCTGGATTCAGTCTGATTGCTGGAATATTTTTTTTTGGGGGGGCGTGTTTAAGCACTGCTGATAATGTTACCTCTCATTAAAAGGCTTTAAAAGGTATCTATCCATATTTATCTTTCCTTCATCTATTCCGTCTTGCAAAGTCCATCTACACGGTTTAACATAAGAGCTCGTAGTAGAGCAGAACTGACAAGGAAGAGTCTCCTTGATGTTGGTTTTGCTAATGAACAATCCCTGTGGTGCTATATTGAATAGTATTTAATCCTTTGCTCCCATGCCATTTCCAGCACTGTAAGTCACACACTTCCAGCTGTTATTAGCTCTTCTGAGATGGGGCAGTGGCATATGAATAGCAACTGTACTGGAGAGATGGCGTTGTTTAGCAGGCCATCTGTGCTTCAAATTTCACCTCAGCCATTAGTTCAACAGGTACCTTGAAGCAAGCTGATCTCTCTGTCATGGCCATTATTCATTTCGGACTGAGTTTATGCCATCCACTCACTTGTTATGGTTAGACGAGCCTCTCTGTCTCAGCCTCTTTCTGAAATATGGGCACGATAATATTGGCATACCTTACAGGGTTGCTGAAAGGACTAGTGAGCATTAATCTTAAGTATTATCATGTACTGAGGGGAATATAATGGAAATCAAATTGCTCTTCCTTTATATCAGTCCCAAAGCCATGCTTAGGCTTGATAATTTTGAAATTAAATTATTTACTTCTGGTCATAAAATTATCATTCAATAGACACTAAATATGAAGCATTAAAAGAACGCTCCATATTTTAATTTTAATTTTGTAAATCCAGTATAGAACATATAATTCTAAATGTTAACTCTGTGTTGAATTGTGGCTACAGGATATAAATAATATATTTCATAACTTGAACCTGCAAATATATTTATATGCTTTAGAATACTTTATAGGCTTATATATCCAGAGTATTTTGGGGGTGGGGGGGTGGGATTCAGTCACATACTGTCAAATGCACGTTAAGCAAGTAAAGTTCATTTGGCATATTTGAACTGCTGATTCTCCCCAGAAGCAGACTTTTTGTGATTATAAAATGTGATGGGAAAATGCCCTAGAAACATGGGACAGCAACTGCTTGATGCAACCCTGTATAACCTCCCCACATGCAACTTAGAATGAACACTCAATAAATAGCTGACATAGTCTAACCTCTTGATCAACTTTGTATAAACAAATCTGGCAAATGCTTGGCAAACAGGTTGTCTGGAAACAGCCACTATGTCCAAATTAAAGCAGGTCACAAACTTTTTTTTCTTTTTGTAGCTGAAAGCAGAGTCAGAAGAGAGAGGAATATAGCGATTGAGGAACCTTATTTTATTTTATATTATTACAGAGTCGTAGGCCCTTGCAAGACAACTAAACAACAAGGCTGATATTATTTTCTTTTGAATTAATACTTTCTTTCCTGCTTCTTAGAATTAGCAACATATAGCAATGCAACAAATATTCCTATTCTCACAGGGCAAATTCTAAGGATGTAGCCATATTAATCTGTTGCCAAGAAAACAGCAAACAATCTTGTGGCCCCTTTAATAACAAACAGGTTCATTGTAACATAAGTTTTTGTAGATTGCAAATGTTACAAATCAGACTGGCTAGCAGCAACTATATTGCAATTGGAAGATTCTTTTACCCAAATTCTGAACATTTGGGCTAGTATATTTTCTGAAGTTACTATAAAGCCAGGATTTTAATCCTGCCATTTCCTCGCTGTTATCTGAAGCATTATGAGTAGTGATTGGACATTTTAGGAAATGGATGAAGGTATTGTAAATGTGACCTGAGAAGCCAGACTTGTTTATAGTGGCCACAAGAATGCCAGGACCGAAATTCTGATCCCAGAAAGTCAATAGAAAATACTCCCTCATTTCTTGTGTGATCCAACCAGACAGCCTCTTTCTCTTGCCCCTCCTCCCAATTTTACAGTAAATTATAAACCACCTTAGGTGCCTTGGCAGAAATTCAGCATATAAAGTAAATGAATAAATACATAAATTTTACGTAGTTACATACAAATAACAGATGGGCTCATTTCACAGAGAATATAATAAAATGTAATGAAACTAGAATATGTTACTCCACAATGTGCCATTTCTGGCCATTTCCAATGTTAGATTTTGAGTCATGTACTTTTAACGACGTTAACAAATAGTAAGAACATTCTCCAAGGAAGAAGTTTTCTTTCTCCATCTCTCTTTTTGTATGTGTATATGCATATGTTTTGTCTAAGCATTCATGTACGATAGTCACTGGGTATTTCAAACATTTCTGGTAAATAACTAGGAACAAATGAAATCAGTTGACTAAGAGCAGTGAAATTATATTAAATGTCCATTCAGTTTGGTTTTATTAGTGAGCTAGCAGTTTGATTTTCCACATGTCAGAATCAAAAGAATAGATGCAATATGCATACTAAACTCAAGCTTTTTCCAGTACTCACACGCAACAAATTACTGGGTGATACCCAACATTAGTCATACTCAGAGGAAGCCCAATGATTTTAATATACAGTGGTGCCTCAGGTTAAGTACTTAATTCATTCCAGAGGTCTGTTCTTAACCTGAAACTGTTCTTAACCTGAAGCACCACTTTATCTAATGGGGCCTCCTGCTGCTGCCGCCGCGCCACCGGAGGCCAATTTCTGTTCTTATCCTGAAGCAAAGTTCTTAACCTGAAGCACTATTTCTGGGTTAGCGGAGTCTGTAACCTGAAGCGTATGTAACCTGAAGCATATGTAACCTGAGGTACCACTGTATCTACTCTGAGTATGACTTAATTATGTATCACTCACTGGAACACAATGGGGGGAATATGTAATGAAGTACATAATAAATAATATGAAATGTGCATATTATTAAACCTAGTTTTATTACAGAGCTGTTACCAGGCGAGATTCAGACATCTTACTGAGCCCAGCCTGCTGCTAGTACAACAATAATTTAACACGATCGATGTCAAATGGTTAATCTCATTCATTGCCTCCCCATTTTGTTCGTTGATTAAACTATGGACCTGTTGAGCAAGCAGCTCAGCCAATATTGCAAGTCTTATGCTTTTCTTGGGATCATTCTTTCAGTGCCAACTCCCTTTTCCATTGTTTTTACATATCTCCATGCCTGAAACCAAGGTAATGCTATCCAGCTGAGATATGAGTCATCTTTCATGAGGTACAAGCGGTTATGAACTAGACCCCCAATGTAGAAAGTTCTGTTTCCCCAAAGATATATGGCCACCAAGTTAGACAGTTTTCAAATGGGGTTGGATAAATTTGTGGAGGACAAGGTTATCAATGGCTGCAAGTCCCGATGGCTATATACATACCACATTGAAGATCAGAGACAGTATGCCTTTGAATACAAGTTGCTGAGCATCAAACAGCTGGAGACAGCTATTGCCTTCATGCCTAGCATCAGGCTGACTGCTGTGGGAAACAGGAAGCTGGAGTAGATAGGCTTTTTGTCTGATCCAGAAGGGCTTTTCTTATGAGGATGCATGTATGAGCATGAATAGGACCACAGTACCAGGGAAGGAAAGGGACGTTGATGGTGCTGTGGGTTAAACCACATAGCCTAGGACTTGCTGATCAGAAGGTCAGCGGTTTGAATCCCCACAACACGGTGAGCTCCCGTTGCTCGGTCCCTGCTCCTGCCAACCTAGCAGTTCGAAAGCATGTCAACGTGCAAGTAGATAAATAGGTATCGCTCCAGCGGGAAGGTAAATGGCATTTCCATGCACTGCTCTGGTTTGCCAGAAGCGGCTTAGTCCTGCTGGCCACATGACCCGGAAGCTGTACGCCAGCTCCCTTGGCCAATAAAGCGAGATGAGCATCGCAACCCCTGAGTCGTCCATGACTGGACCTAATGGTCAGGGGTCCCTTTACCTTTACCAGGGAAGGAAGATTTTATCTTCTCCCACACACCACTTTCTGGATGTAATTACCGCTCACTCATCAAAGCAGTGGGTGGGGTTTGTGACCCTGCACAAGCTTCCTGTGCCAGGGTGACACCCCCATTAGTTGCTGGCTGTTGCCTCGCCCCTTCCCCGGCTACCCAACCAGCTGCCGACGGGGGGGGGGGGGAGCAGAACAAAGAAGAGGTAGTGCAGGGCTCCAGCTGACCATCTCTCCTGCCTGAAACTTCTATTTGCTCCATAGCAGGAAACATCCAGTTGCCATATCATACCTCCCAAGTTCCCCAGGAAAAAAACGGGACATCACGTTTTCCCACACAAGATCGCAGCGGCTATTTTGGGTGCTGCACTTTCATGCTATGTTGTCACTCCCAAAAAGCACTTTTGGGGGCCGTGACCTCCCACAGTGTCCAAAAACATGTTTTTTGGGGGTGCCCTGTGAGACCTTACTCCAGAAAAAAGTGAATTTTCATGTTGAGAGCACAGTGTAGGTCACATGACTCACTCAGGAGCACATTCTGGAAGATGCTCGTTTTTGTTTGGGCTCTGGAAAAGTTGGACGGTATGCCATATAAGTAATGAGCAGTTTTGGGGAGGGGGTGATTTCAACTAGGAAAACAGTACAGTGGTACCTCGGGTTAAGAACTTAATTTGTTCTGGAGGTCTGTTCTTCACCTGAAACTGTTCTTAACCTGAGGTACCACTTTAGCTAATGGGGCCTCCCGCTGCCGCCATGCTGTCAGAGCACGGTTTCTGTTCTCATCCTGAAGCAAAGTTCTTAACCCGAGATACCATTTCGGGGTTAGCGGAGTCTGTAACCTGAAGCGCCTGTAATCCAAGGTACCACTGTACAGGAGATAAGAGAGTAATACAGCCTTTTTGGCCCACACCATGGCCCCGACCTTCAAAGCCCTAAATGGCCTCAGCCCAGTATACCTTAAGGAGCATCTCCACCACCATTGTTCAGCCCAGACTCTGAGACTGAGAACTGAGGGCCTTCTGGAGGTTCCCTCACTACAAGAAGTGAGGTTACAGGGAACCAGGCAGAGGGCCTTCTCAGTAGTGGTGCCCGCCCTGTGAAACGCCCTCCCATCAGATGTCAAGGAAATAAACAACTATCTGACTTTTAGAAGACATCTGAAGGCATCCTTTTTTAGGGAAGTTTTTAATGTTTTATTTTTTATCGTGCTTTTAATATTCTGTTCGTAGCTGCCCAGAGTGGCTGGGGAAACCCAGCCAGACAGGCAGGGTATAAGTAATAAATTATTATTATTTAATTATTATGATGATTCACTTTGGGCTCACTGTTGCTTTTAGTTTTGGGAAAAGCTAAGATCCGATGATGGACTTGCATCTGGTTTAGCCCTCAATAATGGCAATGTTTGGGAGTCTTCATTTCTGAGAAAAGTAGCAAATAAGAGAGTGGCAGCTACAGCAAATACAAATGTTGTGACTTAGAACTGTAGATGAAGTTCGTATCTGGATCGTACCAGTAATCCTTCCCCCCTCCCTATTTCTTTCAGGTACGACCCTCGTTTCAACACATGGATTCACCTGGCCAACATGAATCAAAAGCGCACCCATTTCAGCCTGAACGTGTTCAACGGTCTCCTCTTCGCAGTGGGCGGCCGCAACTCGGAAGGCTGTCTCTCTTCCGTCGAATGTTATGTCCCAGCAATTAATCAATGGCAAATGAAGGCCCCTCTGGAGGTGGCTAGGTGCTGCCATGCTAGTGCGGTCATAGATGGTAGGATCCTGGTCACCGGAGGCTACATCAATAACGCTTATTCCCGCTCGGTTTGCATGTATGACCCGGCTAGCGACAGCTGGCAAGACAAGCCCAGCCTGAGTACCCCGAGAGGGTGGCACTGCGCCACTTCCCTTGGGGAAAAGGTCTATGTCATGGGAGGGTCCCAACTGGGAGGCCGAGGGGAAAGGGTAGACGTGCTTCCTGTGGAGTGTTACAGTTCTTACCCCGGCCAGTGGAATTACGCCGCTCCTCTCCCAACCGGCGTGAGCACCGCCGGCGCTTCCATCCTCAACGGGAAAATTTACTTGGTGGGAGGATGGAATGAAATAGAAAAGAAATACAAGAAATGCATTCAATGCTACAACCCTGGTCTTAATGAATGGACCGATGAGGATGAGTTGCCGGAGGCCACTGTCGGAGTGTCCTGCTGTACCATTGCGATGCCCAATACCAAAACCCGGGAATCCAGGGCTAGCTCAGTATCTTCAGTGCCAGTCAGTATTTAAGTATTTAAAAACGTAGGCTTAGAAAGACTAGGTTAAACCCTTTTTTACGTGCCTATAGGAAGGGGTGGGGGCAGGGTGGGGGAGGCGACCTTTGCTTGCCGGTGAATTTCGGTTCTGCAAAACCAGCCCATTCATTGGAAATACATGGTATGACCTGAGAAATTTAAAAAATGTAAGGCATTTGCCACGTCAGGACAAAGCCACAGGCTTCTGACTTTAAACATTAAAAGCACCTCGCTTCTTTCAAGAGCTGTTTCCCAAGTTCTCAAGAGTTGGAGCTTTGGCCTAAAAGAGAATAGGCAAAGACATCCAACATACGGTATATTTGAAAATATAGTAATCACCTGCTATGTAAAACTAACATACCGTTATCTTTAATCAATTTGTATCCCACTTAATATTTTAAAGTCTCTTTGGGTTGCAATGCATAGGGCTATGTCAAACATCTCAGAGTCCCCAAAATGTTACCTGCATATGCATTAGATTTCCTTCCTTCAATAATTTCCATGCAGGGGTGAGACAGCAGACCTACAGAAGTTCAACTCTGGCATTTCTAGACTTTGGCCAGCTTTCTCCAGTTTAATAACATCATTTTCACACATAAAAGTTCTGCTCTAGGTTAATTAACATAGATCAGGCACGTCCAATTTCCAAGAGACTATGATCTACTCCCACTATAAATAAACCGGCAGTGATCTACTCATTGGATTGACCAGAGTTGTTGAGCTTTTTGCAGGGAGGAAGTAGACTTAAGCTTGTGCGCCTTTATGCTCAACTTTGGGCAACTTTTGGAAGAACTTGACATTGGGGCAGGAGGAGTATAGGTGGCACCCCCAGGGCTGTACCACAAAGAGTTTGCCAGCACGAGCCAACAGGCTGAGCTGCAGAGCTGGTGGACTGAGAAACTGGATCTTCCTTAACACCAGGTTAAGGAAGGCCACTCTATAGGATGAAGAGCAGGTAGGAGCTGCTATTAAAAAACAGCCTTTTCACTGTGAAGGAATGTAATAATACAACACACACACCCCTCACTGAGTTAATGGCAAAGCCCCCATGGATCTTGACAGCTCCTGATTGTATTCCAAGAATTCAATGCTCTACCTGTGTATTCAGAAGTAAGCTCCATTGAGCTTAATGGAGCTTACTTCTGTAGCAGTGTGCAGAAGATTGCAGCTTGAATTGAAATTCATCTCGGTCATACCATTCAGCTATTTTTAAAATCTAAAAACTGGGGAGGGAGGGGGGATTACAGCATTTTTGTAAACACTACTGCATTAGTTCTATAACAACAACAACAAAGGTTTGTACATTACTTTTTAAAAAAACAAAAACTAACCACGTGGCATTCTAAAATGTAAGCTTAATGGCTCATAGTAATAGGTAAGCTGAAATTGGAAAAAACACTTTGGTCCAATAAGGTAGTTTTAAGTAGTATTGTTTAGGGTAGAATGACAGGGGAAACTTTGGGAATCCAACACCTTATTGTTAATTTAATAAAGCATTACCACTTGAATTGCTTATATTATGTAGTATGGAAGAAGAATAGCCAGCTTTAGCTAGATGAGTCTGAAAAGCTTCCCCCCCTCCCGTTTATATACTTGAATGGCCCTATCCATGTTGCTGAGTCATATTTCAAACCAATAATGTAAAAAATAGAAATAATCTCTGTCTCTTCACAATCTGCAAGAAAAAAATGACCCAAATTGTTTTGGGTTTTTTGTTTATTTATTTGTGTGTGTGTGGTGTGTGTATGTGTGTGTGTGTGTGTGAGAGAGAGAGAGAGAGAGAAAGAAAGAAAGAGAGAGGGGGAAGTAGAATAAATCAGGAGTGGCTCTATGGGCAGACCGTCCCCAAGCTAAGTATCATGGCAGGGGGGCTGAGACCGTAGGCTCTGATAGGTTTAAAATCAAGAGCTACTAGGAACCAGGAACCAGGCAGAGGGCCTTCTTGGTAGTGGCACCCGCCCTGTGGAATGCACTCCCACCAGATGTCAAAGAGAAGAACAACTACCAGACTTTTAGAAGACATCTAAAGGCAGCCCTGTTTAGGGAAGCTTTTAATGTTTAACAGACCACTGTATTTTAATAATTTGTTGGAAGCCGCCCAGAGTGGCTGGGGAAACCCAGCCAGATGGGCGGGGTATAAATAATAAATTATTATTATTATTATTATTATTATTATTATTATTATTCAGGCTGCCATCCCATGCCTGGTGGGCCTTCTGGTGTCTGCTGGGATTCTTGCAACATTCTGGACTAGAACCTTTGTTTGATCCATCAAGGCATTTCTTACACAAGTCAAGCACAGCAGTGGCTGACATCACTTCCCAGTGCCCCCTTTTTCAGTACAAGGATGAGTGATGGGCAGCTGCCAGGGGTGCCAACTTGAATAAAATATGGGGGGAGGGGCAGGTAAGCCCCGCCCTGCATAATCGATCACATGACGTGGTGCACAGACACCATTTGAATGGCAAAAACTGGGGGGGGCGCAGGCCCCTCAAATGTTTTACGGAGGGGGAGGCAAAGCCCTCTCTGCCCCTAGGAGTTGGTTCCTATGGCAACTGCCACTGTAGTTTTCCCACAATGCCTTGCAGCAACACTACATAACTAGGGGCGATTGTAGGCAATTGTGGCGTCCAGCCCTGGCAAGAATGCAGACTCAGAGTCACTTCTACAATCCAGTTGTTCCTTTAGTGTTATGAGGTCTTTTTGAATATACACACTTACTTGGTGTGATTGACAGATCAAAGGGATTCTACACCCCCTCACCCCCCCCCAAAAGTAGGCCATTCAGGTCAGCCTGCCTATGATCTAAATGGGATGTATAGGTATAAGGCCTATACACCATTTCCCACGCCCTCCCTCGTTCGGAGGGGTAATGATTGCATGTTATTAAACATGAGCGTATGTTTGTCTCCCTCAGATGTGACATTGAATGCAAGCTGATGAAGGAGAAGAGTGTGCATAGGTCCTCTGTGTACATGAAGAATGTATTGAGATAAAGTGAAGGTTAAGGAAGCTGGATTTTGTGTTTAGGTCTTGAGTTTGGCGACGCATGTTGTCATTTTTATTTTTTTGTCACTGTCAATTTCGCAGTCCAGTTCCTGACCCTATAAAAGATGCTGTTTTCACTGGGCTCTTTTGTTTCCAGATAGCAGTTTCATTAATATAAAGGATGGTAGTTGCCTGCAGAGGTCATGTTGTTGGATGAAAAATTAGGAGATGGGAAATATTGAACAGAAGGCAGTCTGTCAGGTAGGAAGAAAGTTTTATTTTCCAAGTTTTCGCATAATTGGCCAAGGCCTCAGTCTGCACAAAGTGGAGCCCTTAAGAAAGACTTTTCATCCCGTTTAAAGTTTAGTAGGGTTGTGGCTTTATCTGAGGCAGGCTATGCAGTTATGAAGCATGGGAGGGAATTCAATCAGAGATGCATCTGCTCAACTTTGACTCTGAAATGATGAGATTCAAAACAGGCAAAAGAAAGTACTTCTTCATACAACACATAGTTAAAATATTAAACATTTAAAATACGGAATTTGCAACCACAAGACATAGTTATGGCTACTGGCTTAGATGGGGATTAGACTTCAGTGGGAGATACACATTAAATTCAAAATATGTACCATCTGTGTACCAGTGTACAGAATAGTGGCGCTGTACCAATAAATAAGTGTACACCTTTTTTTTTTGCACAAAACAATTTGTATTTGCATAATGGAGATGGCTTGTTCCTGTGTTCAATGTAACAGATGAAAAAGTCTAACATCATGGGTGACCCATCTACCAATAGCTATTAGCCGTTATTGCTGGCTATATGAAACTTCCACGTTTAGAGACAATATGCCACAGAATGCCATTTGCTGAGGAACAACAGCAGTGGGTGACTGCAGGCATCTGGTTGGCCACTGTTGAAAACAGGATGTTGGCTTAGATGGACTACTGGTCTAACGTCACAAGTTTTTTCTTAGGATCTTAGGCTACCTCTCATCATAACAAGTGGCCCTTTAAAACTCCAAGCCACCTAAAGTGTCATAATGTAAGATTTTGGAAAACAATGAATGAGAGACTGCATGGAAATAGAACCAATGTGACAGGCTCATGGCTGCAGGAGTCTTGTATTAACGGCTACTACAGGTGTGGTGGCATCTTTTGCCGATTCTGCAGTTAGGGCTCACCCTCGCTTCCTCTTGTCCTGATGCTGTCCTCCAGGGAAAATCATTCTTTATAGCTTAATTGGAGCAAATGACCATTCGGCTTTTTTCTCCAGATCATAGGTGCCAGCTCCTAATGGCAGAGGCACTTTTGTCCACCCCACCCCATGTTTTTGTTTTGAGGGAGCTGGACCCCCTCAAAGTTCAGAGGCAGTATGGCACCACCCCTTGGCTCCTTGCAATGTCAGGAAGTCAAGTGACTTCCCGCGCGTGATGTCGCAGTCGGATTGAGGAGATGGCGTCTCTGTTCCGGATTGACATTTGCTCCGATTTAGCACTAAAGAGTGGGTTTTCCCTGGCAAAGGAGCGGGTCAAGGGGGGAAACCACTCCAACCTAAGCCTAGAAATTGTGGGTCAAGAGGAAAATGGCTTGGGCCCGTGCTTTCTAGACAACAGACAAGCAGAAGTGTCAATGGGCCTTTAGTCCCATCAGTTTCAATAGGGATACAAATAGGTGCAAAATTTCTCACGTTGGGGCAGCCTTTGCCTTCCATTTGTTTAGGACTAAAACTCTCATCTGCTCAAGCCAGCAAGGCCATGATCATGTTCCTTACTGTGCTGGCTGGGACTCATGGGCACGGTAGTCCAAAACTCCCCTGGAGCTAATAATTTCAAAATGAGGAGTCTTCAGTCAGTGCAACTCCAGAGTCATGTGACTGGAGTTAATCATACTTTTCTCAATTAAACTGAGATTGTAGCAAAAGAAATGTTACTGTTTGCTAAAGGTTATTACCTCCTAGGCAAGCCCTGTTTCTGTGTCATTAACAGAAACCTGACATGCTCTTCCTGGCATTGAAATAAGTGGCATGGAGATAATTAGTCACTTCAGCTGCTAATTTCTGTGCGTGTGGCAGCAGCTAGAATCCAATATGTACCCGGAGGGCCACATGTTCCCTGTTCTAGAGCTTGAAGCACAGTAGCTGCAGCAGTAAAAGGAGGTTGTTGGTAAACCTTGCCACAGAGACTAAGCCTGCAACGCATTGACAGGATTGAAGCATGGTAATAAAGCCTGAGGATAGGAAGGTGTTATTCACAATAAGACAGTGGGATGCCGTTTGCGCTATTCTCTCTGGAAAAACTTGAGCGAGTCTAAGGGTAAGTGAATGTTGGACAAAATACCTGGATCCACGTTGTACGATGAGAGAGAAAGAAAGGTTGCTGTCAATGAAAATCTAAAGTTATACTAATAAACTGACTGATGGTTCAACTGATTTATGATTTATTAGAGTGTAGGGAATAAAATGGTGGTAGCTTTCATATTCTCACTAACGAATACGAATGGGGAAAACACACTATCTGGTATACATTTGCTTGTCTCTTCTTTCTTCTCTGCTTCACTGAAGATATAGATCTAAGTTAACAGAGATTAATGACACTGAGCAGTTTCCAATATTGTGACATCCACAGACGTGCTTTAAAAACAGGGATGAGAAACCTGACACTCCAGGTTTTTGTTGGACTTGCAACACCCCTGACCACTGTCCATGCTGGTTGGACCTGATGGGAGTCCAACAACTTCTTGGAGGGGCTCAGGTTTCCTTGTTTTCAAAAGATGAAGTTAGAAAATGAAAACACTTTCAGGCTAGACTGCGGTAGGTACAAGGGAACACATACCTTTCTTACTGGAAGATGCACAAATTTAGTTTGAGAACTTTATTACTTAAAAATGTGATGCACTGTGGTGGAACAGTAAATGTGTTACTAGCACAGCACACACTGGACTGAACTAGATTGGTAAAGAAAAAGCGATTGATATGCACTGTATGTGCGATATAACATTGTGCCACCAGATGGCGAAGTGGAGTCCCATTTTTCTCTACTTGTTTTCCCCGTTTAAATTTACGTGTTTAATTGAAATGCTTCTTTGATGTGTCTAGATCCAGCCACTCTATTTACTCATAAAACCTTCAAGGCAATTGTGAAGTCTGTTGAAATGAAACCCATCTCCACTGAAGTAATATAAGTACTCTGACGATAAAATATTCTTTGTATTATTCCTTTCGGTGATTTTTCCCTCCATTATGTAGTACTTGGAATATTTATTTCACACCCTGTGTACTTTATGGAAAGCTGTGTTGACTGTCAATTAAGTTCTTAATTTTCTAATTCCTTGCATGAAAGTACAGTCCATGATTTCTGCTGTTTCAAGGCTTTGGGATACAGACTAGGGCTGATGTGAGATGGAGCTCCAGAACATCTGTAGGGTAACATTCTGGCTAACTCTGACATAGGTCATGTCTGCACTATGGACAATTGAAGATGCAGCCTACCTACATATGCTGGGGATTAAACCTGGGATCTTCTGCAGGTAAAGCAGATTCTCTACCAGTGATATCATATTTGTATCCCACCATTAATCTGAGGGGACAGGACGCGGGTGGCACTGTGGGTTAAACCACAGAGCCTAGGACTTGTCGATCAGAAGGTCGGCGGTTCAAATCCCCGCGACGGGGTGAGCTCGGTCCCTGCTCCTGCCAACCTAGCAGTTCGAAAGCACGTCAAAGTGCAAGTAGATAAATAGGTACCGCTCCGGCAGGAAGGTAAACGGCGTTTCCGTGCTCAGCTCTGGTTTGCCAGAAGCGGCTTAGTCATGCTGGCCACATGACCCGGAAGCTGTACGCCGGCTCCCTCGGCCAATAAAGCGAGATGAGTGCCGCAACCCCAGAGTCAGTCACGACTGGACCTAATGGTCAGGGGTCCCTTTACCTTATTAATCTGAGGAGCTCAGATTATGAATGGTTCTCTCTCCCACCCCCAATTTTATTTCACAACAACCATGTGAGGCAGGTTAGGGAGCAATAGAGCCTCTACTGCATTTTAAAATATGTATCCGGCTTAAAAGTGCAATGTTCACAGCAAGCTGTATAATTTTAATGAATCCTAACACTGTCAGTCTAAACCACTTTTTAAAGCCTGCGGTGGTGGTGGTGGGGCAACATTACAACTAACGGAATAAAGGAACTGGAGGACATGAAGACACGTTCTTGAATTTCACACCAAGAATACAACACTTTCTTCTTGAACTTAAAGCCAATTGTGTATAGGACAAAAGCAGTAAATTCTCTCTTAGAGCTTGAAATGCAGTTTTGTTCCTATTCTTCCTGACTAGAATAGGGTCACCTGCCTCAACAGGCTATGTCCAATACATTCCGTAAAACGGGAGTGGGGAATCTATGGACTTTCAGATGTAGTTAGACTGCAGCACCCATAATCTCTGACCATTGGCCTTGATGGGGAGTCACAACAACATCTTGATAATGTTTTGGGGAAGCGTCCCTGGGGGGGGGGGAGTGCTTGAATGCATGAGTGATGATGCACAATTGGGGGAGGGAATTATTGAGGGGATAGATTCAGCACATAAACAGGAGAGTACACGTCCTAGAGAGTAAGAATGAATAGCAATAGGAGCGCATAACCTCTTCCCCAATGGCTGGGCATTCATACAACAGGTTTTAAGCAGGGAGCAGTGAAGGAATGTTGCCTAAGCAGAGGTGGAGTTGCACATCACCAATGGCAACAGAACAAAACATGCCTGGGGGCGCATGATGCTGTAAGAACTTTGGATCTCCTTGCAGTACAAATGCAAACATTTCTGCACGGGTGAAGTGTGAAAATATTCTCTTCTCTGACCCAAAATCAATGTTTTGTTTCAAAATATTAAAGCCACATGTTTATTTTACAGAGAATATTATCCCTCTGATCTGGGACTCTTAGAACAAGTGGGACATAGCTCAGTGGTAGAGCACATGGTTCAATCCCAAGCATCTCCAACTCGGGCTGGAAAATCCCCATGTCTGAAGAGCCCTGCCAGCCGGTGTAGAAAATATTGGGCTGGGTGGACTAACAGTCTGAGCCACTATGAGAAGGCCAGAGCCAGGGCCATCTTTAGCAGATGTGGAGGCAGGGTGCAAATATCTGCCCAGCGCCCCCAGATTACCACTGATAGTGTTGGGGTGGCTGTAGCTGCGCATTGCCTGCCATCCAGGGGGGCACAACTCTCCCCCATGCAGCTGCGGGACAGCGATCTGCGCAGAGGCTTGGAGGCTTGGGAGGGAAGCTGCATGCCCACCAGCCTTATGGTTGGTGGAGCACAGCTGGCGGGTGTGCAGGCAAAGGGGAGGCCACCAGCAAAGCCACGCAGCTCCCCCACTCACTGGGGCGCCCCTGGGAGGCCAGCACCCTGGCACGATGCACCATTAAGCCCTATGGGAAAGACAGCTCTGGCCAGAGCTTCCCCAACATTGTTCGAGATAGAATGAAAAGAATCATTGGATTTTAGAGCTGGAAGGGACCCTGAGGGCCAGCTAATCCAATCCTCTGCAATGCAGGAATATGCAGCTGGATTGAACCCGCAAACTTGGCATTGTCAGCGCCATACTCTAACCAACTGAGCTATCCAGTGTGGTCCATTCATTAAATGGTTATTATGGAAAACATCATTTAAGAGACACAATCACTGAATGCAACCTCTCCTTCGTTCACCATAACAAATTTGTGTTCGTGTTGCAGCGTAATGGTATGGCTCTTCTCTTTGATGACTGCCATCTTAGACAGCTGCTGTCCACCCTTCACTAGGGAAAAAAGTTTGCTGCAAAACGTATAATGAAGATAAGCCAGCTGCAGCTTTCACATGTTCGAGAGCATATTGTCAGCAGCACCTCCTCTACCATGGAGCCTGACCTTTAGATTATTAACCTCAGATAACCCTTTGTGCTATGAATATGCACGGCACTCCTTTCCACAGAAATGTGCTGCCAACTCTCTGCTGAAATTGGCACTAGAGGGCAGCAATGGGATTCTAGCAATTTCTACTTGCTGCAGAGAAGCCTTTGAAATGCATTGGCTGGGGCCACGCACACATGGCATGTTCAGGGAACCAAACAGTTCAAAGTCCATCTTCTGTGAGGGAAGGGAAAGCGGTCAGAATGGCTGAAAGTAAAACCTTACGAGGCGGACTGAGGATTGGCAAAGAGGTTCCTGGGATATAAAGAAGCTAGCAAACAATTAGGCCAGAGGAACTGAAGCGCTGAGGGTGGGCGGTGGATTGAGAGTGCGAGAGAAGATGGTTGGATGAACGAGACTTGAGGAAAGTTAAACGTCAAATATCAAATAATGTTCTATTGAGGCAAGAAGTGTGTAATCTGAGAAGGGACTCTGAACAAACTTCATTGTGCTTAAGATCAGGAGGAACTGTATGGTATGGCCGCGTTGAGTACTAGAGAAACTGGCCAAGGAACGACAGAATGACTAACAGAAGAGGGGCAGAGTTATCTGAAACACAAGAACCTTAGGAAATAAACTGTGGTGGCAACTTTGAGTTGAAGGAGTAGAATATCAGAAGAACATAGAACTGGGGGGGCAAAACTGACCATAAGCCTTAGAGACAGGAAGAGCTGTGGCGGGTGAGCCTGGGAGCTTGGAAAGCTGTGATTTGTGGACCAGGAAGTCAAAGAAACACAGGATTGCTAGGTCTCGATCCTGACAGGGAAATGCTGCCAACTGATGCTTCCCTTGTTAGTGTGGCATTGCAAGCTGACATCCTAAAGGGATACAGAATGGCTGGTCAGGTGCATACCTGGCTGCAGGTATAGATGTGCACCCCCAGCTGCCGCACTCAAAGAGCATTGATACAAGGCTATGTGTCTTTGTAGCTACCCATCAACCTACCACATTGAACAAAAAATGCATTCCTTCTCACTGAACAACCTGTCGGCATTTTGTGAAAGCTGTTTTCGTGGTTTTCCCATGAACTGAAATGTTGCAGGTTTGATTAAAAGGTAAGAACCCAAGTACTCTACCCATGAATTCATCTCTGCCAAATTTAAATAAGCTGATTGTCCTTTTCAGATATCCATTAGCCAAATATGAGAGCTAACTCACATGACCTTCAGTCTGCATTCCAGAACTCACCCTTTGGACTTTCTTTTCAGGAAGGCATTCTCGCTAACTACACAAAGCCATTCTGTACTGAAATGATTTCTCCCTTGGCACTGCCTAAAAGGCCAAATTGCTAATCAGAAGAGAAAACTATTTATGGGTTAACTTCTCCAAATACCACTAATCTCACTCATAGGACACCGGGCTCTGAATAAACACTGATCAAAGAAAGTAAACTTCCTAAGTAGGTCATTATTGAAATTTATGCACATCCTGACACCCCAAAATGGATTCATATTTACTTGGAAGCTAAGTGCCACGAAATTCAACAGGAATTGCTCTGATACAGGTGTGGTTGTGAATCGCATCCTTTGCTGCTATGAAGCCACTGGCCAAGAAATCAAGGCTTCGTGTCATCTCCCTTCACTCCCCTTTAGCAGCCAGATAAGTCTCCCACTTTAAACCCAGGCTGGTAGAGTGTGGCTGCTTCTTTGTTTCTGCAGTGTGAGCAGCTGGTGCACCACTTAGTTTCCCAGCTTACTTTATTTTATTATTTATTTATTAAATGTGTATAGCTTATACCCACAGGTCTCAGGGCAGTTCACAGGGCTTAGCCCAGCAGACACTGATTTTCCTGGAGGAATTCAATGCAAGTCTGTTAGGTCCTCCCAACCACACTGCAAAAGTAGGGAAGCTGTAATCTTGCTGACCTAGAAGTCCTACCCCGTTTCTCCTTTCTCCAAGACCTCCCCACAACCGATGCTGTTTCTTCAACCTGAGCCTAGTCTGGATCCTGTCTGAGCCCTGCCTTTCATCGATGATCAGACTGCAACTCCTTGAGAAATGCAGAGGTGGAAATGTAGGTAGCTACACTTCATATTAGGGATGCGGGTGGCGCTGTGGTCTAAACCACAGAGCCTAGGGCTTGCCGATCAGAAGGTCGGTGGTTTGAATCCCCTGATGGGGTGAGCTCCCGTTGCTCGGTCCCTGCTCCTGCCAACCTAGCAGTTCAAAAGCATGTCAAAGTGCAAGCAGATAAATAGGTACTGCTACGGAGGGAAGGTAAACAGTGTTTCTGTGCGCTGCTCTGGTTCGCCAGAAGCGGCTTAGTCATGCTGGCCACATGACCTGGAAGCTGTCTGCGGACAAACGCCTGCTCCCTCAGGTTATAGAGCGAGATGAGCGCGCAACCCCAGAGTCGTCTGCGACTGGACCTAATGGTCAGGGGTACCTTTAGCTTTACACTTCATATTGCAAAGCAGCCATTGCCAGCACGTACTAAGATTTTGAGAGAGAGAGAGAGAGAGAGAGAGAGAGAGAGAGAGAGAGGTGATACTTTAAATCTAAATAAACAAGCTTTGCATCAATGCTGCTAGCTGTGGCCAAGCCTAGGATTGCAGCACATGCATGCTCCTGAAACACGAAAGTTGTGCACTTTGTCTCCATGGCTGGATATGTTTCACCTGCTAAATATGCCTGTGGAAGGCAGCTACCACAGGAAAAGGCCCTAATGAAAAGCCAGGAGAACTATGGGCAACATGTCTGCAGCAAAAGAATTGGCATTGTTTCTATAGGAAGGCTTCTATTCACTTGCCCTATAAGTTGTCTAATGAGACCTACTTAGCTGCTATGCAAGCAGCATGTCATGACTGAGGCATTTGTTTTAGTGATCTGAAACACACAAGCGAGCTCTTGCAAGGAAAGGATTATAAACATTGATCCGCAGGGCAATAATTAACCGATGAATGGTTTCGTGATGCTATGAGGCATAAGTGCTGAAAGATGATTCTATGGTAGTGTTTTAAGCCAAGCACGGAATGGTTTTTTAAAAAGCTCTCCCAGTGCCAGAGGATCAATTCTTGTCATCCCAGCCTCTTAATCAGATGTAGTGAGTTGGACTCCAGGTGTGGCAGCAGCAAGCAAAAGGTACAGTATAAATCACCAAATTGTGCCAAGAAATCCTCCTTTGGGAAATCTGTGACACTGCAAGTATTGTTGGACTCCAACTCCCATAATCTCTGAACATTGTCTATGCTGGGGAGCCAAACAACATCTAGGAGGCTACAGGATCCTCTCATGGACAGTTTGCTGAAACATTTTTTTTTTTTTAATAATTCAAAATCCACTCCTTATTTACATTGTCATCAAACAGCTCTCTTGCTTCTTTACAAACTTCATTAAAAAACATTGCTGACTGAAGTCTTATGCTTACCTGCTCTCCTTGTAGTGAATGAAATGCAAATGATAGCTTTATTTCAGTTCTCTCTACAACAGGCATAGGCAAACTCAGCCCTCCAGATGTTTTGGGACTACAACTTCCATCACCCCTAGCTAACAGGACTAGTGGTCAGGGATGATGGGAATCGTAGTCTCAAAACATCTGGAGGGCTGAGTTTGCCTATGCCTGCTCTA